TGTCATTTTTTTCAACTCAGGATGGCCGATGCGAGGCATGCTTGCTTGAGGAAGCTGAAAACATGGCAATTGGGGAAGCTGGAGAGGTGAATGAGGGTGTAAACCGTCGGACTCTTGGCCTATCATATCATATCCCTTTGTTGACGGGATGCAAGCCACTTTGAACCGTCACGCCCACGGATAGTTGATTCTTGCGCAGTGTTTCGGCATGTGCCCTGGTGCTGACAAAGGAATGCGAACGCCTAGAGGTGTAGGTATGTGAAGTCGTGATATCGATCGTTGTGTTGAAGGGTTAGATGCGGGCCGGCCGCGCGCGGCATATTGGGGGTTATTATGCTCGGTGTGGGCGGGATGAGGAGGGGGGATTGTGCGGCTGCTTCAGATACGAAGAATAGGAAAAGAGAAATGGCCAAGGGAAGGAATTCCAAATCGAACGATGAAGCGGCGTCTTCGGGCCTGCCACGCGGGGAGAAGCAAAAAAACTGAAGACCCAGCAAGAAATATTCCAAGCAACGAACGAAATGTAACGGGGCCATGAAGAGGGAAATAACACACACAAAGAAAAAAAGCAAACATGTCACAACGTCATTTCCTTCCATACCGGGGTACAGACTCGACAAGGGTCCTGATACTCGCCAACGTTTTCGCCAACACCACCAAGCACCAACAACAACATCCAAAATCGCTAACATCGGCCAACAATTCTTCGCTAAACTTTCCTGACCCAGCTTCTCGGCAACGGTCGGTTTTTGTTTTTTATGGAACGATTCCGAGTTCCTGGGAACTGGTACTGGGACAGGTCCAAGGATCGGAAGTTGATAGCTCACAGTAACATATGGCTCTCCTTCCGTTATTGTAATCCTTCTCCGAAGTGGTTCGACGCTCGCGGTGCAAGCCCAGAAGGAGAAGGTCAATCGTTGTGTTGGCGGGTCGAATGTCGTCGGGTGATGCCGTGATGGTCCCGATGACCGGGTCAATGGTGTGCTTAATCTAATCGGAGGAATCAGGTTTGGTTGCTGGGTTGTAGTTGTTTCGGGTACTCTTGCGGTTGGGGCGCATGCAACTGCTTTGGGTTTTTAGTAAGGATTTTTTGGGATGTCGCTGGTAGGTAGGGTTGATGAGAAAATGAGGCTACGAGACAGCACATACATGCCTTTATCATCTTGATTTGTAGGAATCAGTGCCTCCGGTGAGTTTCAGAACAATCCTGGCATCAATCGATGAAGAAGGTTCAAACTAAAAAGCAACAGACCTCAGCAAAATCCATGTTGACGATCGGGGGTATCACGTGCGATAACGATAACGGTCTCATGTGCGCTTATCGATAAGATCATAGGCCATCAGGGTTCTCAAATGTTCGCTTCCCGAGCGCAATTTCAGTGTATTTCCCCTTTTGCATACAACACCATGGTACTTAAGTCAAGAGCAACGCCCATGATGACGTTGGTTTTCCTTTTGAAACACATTTTTTTGATTTCTTTGCTGTAATATTTTGAGTTTCTAGCTGCTCTGTCATGGATGGGGCGTCTCCAAGTTTCCAACTCAGTGCTGGGAGCCTGGGACTCATGTACATGTCTTGCCATGCTCATTCATCAAAGGCGCCTGACAAACATCATGAGGTTGGGAATCTGAAGATTCAAGGCATTCATTCCATTCGTTATCATCATCATCATCATCATACTGTGTAGAACATATGTCAAAATATGATGGGAACAGAAGCCATATCATTCAACTAGAGTACTGTAGACTGATGGGGGACTGAGTCCCTTTTATGCTTTGCCGTGCCGTGACCCCCTGTCCTGCCATGTACCGGTACAACCTCGTCAGCCATGTCTGTTCCTCAGCCCTGTTGACGTCCTGTCAGTCCAGAGCCTCAAAGCCATGAGTATGCCATGATATTCAGCAACATATAGCAAAACTTCTAGCCCATGGCATCAAGCATGACCCCCACAACACGGCGCCAACTTCCCTCCCTCACCACCAACCACCTTCTCCTCCCCCTTACTTCCCTCTCCCTCCCCTTCCCTCTCCCTCCCCTTCCCCCTCCTTTGCACCCCCTCCCAAGTTCACCCCCAACACCCTCTCCCCCAACTCCCTCACCATCCCCACCACCCCCTTCCCCCCTCCCCCCAACTCCTTCTCACTCAACCCAACACTACAATTAACCTCCTGCCTACTCTCCCTCACATCAATAGCCGGATTCCTCTCAAAGAAATTACTCGGCCTCAACACCACCCTGCTCGTCTCAACCGGCATCACCGGGAAATCTTCAGTCCTCGGAACATGCTGCAACCCAAACTGGACCCAAACCACGGGATCATCCCCCGCCTCATCCAGCCTATCCCTTCTCTCCGCCCATGACCTAACACCGGTGCCGCCACGGGATTGGTTCGTGTACTTCCCGCCGGCGTAGAGTTCGCCTTCGCGGTATTTGGTTATATACAGGGAATGGTCGGCGAATTCAGCTCTCTTGTGGTGGAAAGAAGATGGGTGGGCGAGGATGGGTTGCATGGGTGGTATGTGGAGTTTGTAACCGGGGGGAAGGGAGTTGATTGGGTTGTGGGATTGGGGGGAGATGATTTTGAAGACGCGGCCGGTGGTGGGGGAGAGGTCGTACCCGCCGGAGGTGGTGATGGGGGTGGTGGTTAGGGTGTAGCCGGTGCCGTGAGGGTTTTGGGGGTTTTCGGAGGGGGGTTTGGATGGGTCGTAGGGTAGGGGGACGCATTCTTCGTAGACGATTGCGTTGCGAGGGCCGGTGGAGGGAGACAAGATGGGGGTGGAGGAGGTTGATAGCATCGGGTCGATGCGGAGGGAGAAAAAGTGTTGGTGGTAACCGGCTAGAACGCCGGGGTGGACGATGGTGCCGTAGGGGTGGGGGGTATGGGATAGCTCGAGGTCGACGGGTTGGGTTGACAGGATACCGGTGGCGCGAGCTTCGTAGGCTAGGTCGGCTGAGGTGTTGAAGACGAACGAGAGGATGTACTCGTAGTTCGACACCGTCAGGATGGTCTGCAACACTAGCTCGCGCTGACGAGTCACCACGGCGCGGTTAGTCCGGTAGTTGGTATGTTTCCAACCGATGCCAGCGTCCTGCTCGTGAACGCAGATGACGTTGGGCATGTTAACCGGCGACCCGCTCCCATCCGTCAAGACACCAGAGATGTAGTAAATACTCCCCAAACAATCGCATCCCAACTTCAAATTGTTGGCCATGATCCCCGCCCCGGCATCACCAAGATCGAACGCCGCCTTCCGATGGAAAGGATGTCTGGGATCCGAATACGGAATCGCCATATCGCTCAAACTCAACCGATAAAACAACGGCTTGTTGTCGTAGTGCACATCATACACCACCATCCCCTCCCGCTGATTAAACCCAACTTTAAAATCCCACTTCTGCCATCTAATCAACCTGCCCATCTCGCTGTACGGTTCCACCGTAAAACTGACCCCCTCCGGCTGAACCACCTGCAACGGCTTCAAGTCACTTCTCAACTCCTTCTGCAGCTCAGGGATATACTCGTTCCCGGGCCTCGGCGTCCACGGCTTCACCTCCCCTCCATTTACCTCCGCACCCAACCCCGTCGGCAAAACATCAACCCTAACAACCTCCAAAGTAACCGGATCAACAACCGGCGAAATCGGCAACGGAAACGCATAATGACACGAATCCTCCTCCTCCGAGTTCTTTGGATCTCTCATATACAGGAAGCACTGCATAACCCTCTTATCATCATAAAACTTTTTTCCAGTCTCATCCTTAACCCCATCCGAGCCGTAAATCCACGGGTCAATCACAATCTTACTCCCCTCCGGCAGTTTCAGTTTGGCAACCTCCTCCTTAACCCTCGGGTCAGCGAGCAGGGCCCTTTCAACAGCCAAAATCTCCTCCCCATCGCTGTTAGCATGTTGAAACGGCCCCAACTTGGCGTTGCTTTCGACTGTGGAGGTGGTCAGGTTGACGATGGCTTCGTGCACGTTGTGCGTACCCCGTAAAGAGTAGACGATGAAGGACCGGCGGGGGATGTCCAGTGGTGGTGCCTGAAAAGAGCAAGAGCGTTCGGCGACGAGGTAGGGCATTAACTCGGCTTTGGGCGGTTCGAGGAGGGTGATGATTTTGAAGTGGAGGGGGGTGGAGGGGGGCCAGAGGGATTTGATGAGGGTGGAGGAGAGGGTGATTTCGGAGGCGGAGAGGGGACCGAGGGGGTGGGATTGGTAGGCTGGGGGTGGTGGTGAGGAGGCATTGTTGGTGGTGGTGTTGGTGATGGTTAGGGGAGCGTGGCCGGGGGCTTCGGTGCTGGTTCCTGAGGTGTTGGTTGTCATCTTGTCGGTGAGGTGAGGGATGGTGTTGATATGAATGAGTGGTGAGGTTTTGGGAGAGGGAGGGTCTTTATGAGGCGGACAAAGTGATGTTGGGGACCAAGGATAGCGGGGTAAGTATCACCATGAACGATAAAGGCTTGTTACCATCCAATCTTATCTCCTCCAAAGGGAGGAACAAACCAATATCATTGGAGAGCGCTCCGTGCTTGTGAGTGGGATGAACGGCCATCTCGGACTGCAAGTCCACGAGACATATCGCCAAGATAGGGACCCGAAGTTGTACGTAACACTTGCTGGGCATGGTTATTCGCGGTTATAGACCCCTCGTTCTTGAGCCCACGATACAACTGGTGATGAAGCTGGACGGGACTGCCGGATGAGGTTAACCATCCACACATCGTCACCATTGTCCAGAAAAGGAAATGAACTCCAGCACTTCAGTGTTCTGCTTCCCCGCATCCTGCTTCAGCTCCTCCGAACTACCCCGCTATCATTGCTATCGTTCGTATCGGCGTGCAACACTGGCTGTCTGTCCTACCCATTTTGACCAACAAAAAAAATGCAGGAAGCTGGTGGTTTACAACCGTGATGTTTGCGCCAAAAATTACACGAGAAAAGGAGAAGTAAACAAACCCACTCAGCTCCACTCAAAAGCTCAAAAAAATTGCAAAAGAAATTGGGACCTGGGAGGCTCGAACTCCCGACCTCAGGATAACTCTGGTATTTCACCAGATCATAGAGAAGCTATGAGACCTGCGCGCTAGCCAACTGCGCCAAGGTCCCCTGTGACCTTTGTTAAATCGTTGAAGTTGTGGCTCAGCGGAAGTGCTTATGAGCATGCACGAAAACTGGATTTTGGGAATGGGGGCACTTTTACATTTCGCATCCTCGAAATCGAAGTAAGAACGACGAAAGCAACCATCAAGAGATATAGCAAACTCGTTATGTAGATTTGAAAGGATATTAATGAAAGAGAAAGTTCATATGTAAAAGAGCTTGACTTACCGCACCGGGGTCATTGTCCTCATGCACCCTTTTTTGACTTTATGCACCCTGTGCACGGATCACCCGTTTTCAAAAGTAAATTTCTTTGGTAAAACGTTCCAAACTTTCACAGCCAAAATTTATAACGCAACAGCTACTTCCTATTTTTGCTTTTATAGACATCAAACTGTATCATTCTCATTGAGAATGAAATAAAATAGTAATATACCGTTATTCAAATCTTGAAGAGCTTTTCTCAAGGGAATGCTTATATAAAAGTTTGCGTAGAGATTCCATTTCGTTTTGAGAACGGTTTCTTACACTAAAAAACGACGATAATTTCATTACATGTAAAAAAGGGTGCGCGAAGTCAAAAAGGGTGCATGAGGACAATGACCCCGGTGCGGTAAGTTAAGCTCATGTAAAAACACATATAAAGATTGCGAATCAGGCAATCACCCCCTCGAAACCCCAACCCCAATATCCCTCACAACATAAATCTGTCCATACAAATCCGTCACATCAACAAACAACTTGACCCCCTCCATCTCTTTCCCCCCCACCAACAAGCCCTCTAACTCCCCCATCGCCCTCTCCAACCCGCGTCTCTCATACTCTGCAATCCACATCAACTCCTCCTTGACCTTCTTCTCTCCCTCCATTGCATCCCCATCTCCATCTCCATCTCCATACAATCCTCCCTTTCCACCCTTTCCATCTTTCTTTCCACCCAGTCCACCCTTCCCCATACAACGATTACCATCTCCCCGTCGTCCAGCAGAAGACAAGTGAAACTCCCCGAAATTCACAGAATTCAAGTTTCCCTCCGCATGGTCGCGAGCCACAGACCCATAATCATTAAACATCCTACACAAACTCGCTAAACTTCTCACCATTGCTTCGGTAACGTAGCTCGTTTTTGCATCTCTGCTGAACAAGTTCTCGCCCATCCTATTACCGTTACCGGTGGTGTTACCGTTGCCGTTACCGTGCTTACCGGGATTATGGGAGAGGAGGCAGGTGTAAAAAGTAAAAGAGAATGGACAGGAGGTGTGGTCAGCGGAGGTTGAGCGGACCCAGGAGTAGTAGGTTCGGGGGTTGGGGGGGTTGAAGATCTTTGTTCTTGTCTGGGTATCGAGGGATGGGGAGGAGGAGGAGGAAAGACGGCGGCGTTTAGATGGCGGTGGAGAGGAAGAGTCGGTCGGTTCAGAAATGGGCGATGGCAGACCGGTCTCCTCTTCTTCTTCCTCCTCCTGGCCCCCAGCGGCGTCGTGGCAAGAGAAAACCCGGTTAGAGCCAGCGGCGGCAAACTGGATATTATCATCCGCATGCTGCACATGAGCCAGCAAAAAAGTTTGCACCTCCCTTGCCAACCTAGCCCGTACACCCCCCGGCGCGCTGATAACAGCTGGGTGCAGGAGGATGTATCTGACGTATCTCGCAAGAGTTGATCGGATAATCTTTAGGTTTGTGGGTGTGTGGTCGGAGTCTCCCCAGATACTTCTTCTTCTCCTCCGACCCGAGGGATTGAATTCGTCAAAGACTTGGTCGATGACTTCCCGGATTGCATCCAGGCTTCCACGACTTCCCTCGTAGAAACCGAGAAAGTCTCGCTCGACGGCGGTTTCCATGTACTCGTCGACTTGGTAGTTGAGCATGGAGAGGATCATCATTTCTTGCAGGATGTAGTTGCTCAGGCCTCCGCTGTGCCCGTGACCGTGACTGCCGGTGGCTTGCACACGAAGGGCGTTGCTGGCGGTCCAGGTGAGGGGGATGAAGGTCATGTACTTCTCGTCGCCGCCGGTAATGGGGAAGATATCCAGTTCCTGACGCTTCTGCTGAAGGAAGCCAAGGGCATAGCAAGCTTGCATCTCTGCGACTCTCAGCAGTTGTGGCGCTAGATCTCGGAACAAAGGTGTAAGGGAGATGAGCTGGCCTGCTTTTAGGACACCGTGAAGTAGTGACGCGGAAACAAACAGCGAGTCGTTAGTCCTGTGTACAACCTGGCCATTTGCATCGACTGTCGAACCGGTGAAATCAGGAACGGGAACAACGGCGGCAGCTAGGCAGTACGCCTCGCACAACACTGGGGACGCATATGTAACTTTTTCAATCCAGAGGTACTGTCCCTTCTTCCAGTCTTGCTTGTGAGCTTCCAGGAAGGCCTTGCCATTCTCGATGCTGGCGGTAATAAAGTTGACACCATGCATGCGTCCGAGTTGCTGAATCCAAGGGAGATGGGAGAGCCAAGACAACGTCAGGATGCCGTACGCTGTAACTTCGGCGATGCCATTTGCCCACGAACCATCGAGACCTTGTGACCCTAGGACCTTGGTAAGGACATGTAGGGAGGTTGTCGGAATTTGCTCTCTTAGTTCAGGAGCGAGCTGGAAGACGGAAGCTTCGAGGGCGGGATTGACGGCCATGGCGTCAAAAAGGGAGGCAAAGGACTGGGAGATGAGCATCATCCAGTAGAGTTCGTTGATGTGCTAGAGGTAGACTTTGTCAGCGTTGTTTCTACTGCTCGTTCTTAAAGTGGAAGAAGTGCTTACCCATTTCTCCCTCACACTATCAGCATGCACCTGCTCACAAAGGAACTTTGCCGTCTTGACAATCTGCCGGACATAAACCGTCGGATCATCCATCATTAACAAACACGTCAAGACGTTGCAGTTCGCACTAATACTCGGATTCCTCTCCCCCTCGTACGTCCGAAAATGGTCCTTCGCTTCGAACGCCCTGATCAACGAGTCAACACCGACGTTGGCACCAAGGTGTCTCAGCGCCATGATCGCTCTTGCCGTATCATCTGCATCGACCAGGCCACCCGGGACTGCGAATCGTTAGCACTTTCACCCAAAATCAGGACCAGCCAGAAGATCTTACAAAAGCTAAACAACAACCCATCCTGCCTCGCCCACCCCTCCTCCAAGTACTTCCTAATCCCTCGCCCCTCCTGCTCTCCAAACCCCACCCCCGCCTCAGCCAAGGTCGTAACAACCCAAGTAACCTCAAAAGTCTCCGTAGGCCACGCACACGGCACACCTCCATCCCCTCTCCTCTCCTCTAGACGTCCTTCCGCTTCCGCCTCTCCACCAAACCTCTCCCTATCAACCGCCCCCCTCAGATACTCCTCAGCTTGCTCATCCCAGACCCCCTTCTCCGCCAACCCCATGAGGTAAGCAGCCGTAGACGCAGGACTAGCAAGCATCGACCCATTCGCCTCCTTTAGATGTCCAACCTTGGTAAAATCAATATAACCCCAGAGAGCTTCCAACGAGTGGTAAAGCGTTGACCGAGCCTGGTAGACATAATTGGCCGGTAACTTTGCCAGCTTCGCATCGTGCAGAGCGCGCAGGGTAGAAGAGCCGGGGAAGGAGGAAAGCCCTTGGCCTTGCACGCCCGACTCCTCTTCGAGCAAGAGGAGAAGACGGGTGACGAGGAGTTCGAAGCCGACTTGATCTGTTGAGGCGACGTCCCATTGGGCAAGCATGGATTTGAGCGCGGATTCGGCTAGCAGGATTCGGTTTTGCAGGGGCCAGGTGGTGAGTTCGGGCTGGGAAGGGCGCTGGGAAGAAGGGAAGAAAAGGGAGTGGCGCTTGAGAGCGAGCAAGGCGGCGGCGGTGTTGAGGATGCCGTCGATGGGTGTGGCGTAGGAAGTCCATCCGCCTGAGGGAAGTTGGTGCCGGAGGATGTAGGTGAAGCATTGGGGGAAGAGGAAGTGGCCGGAGTTGGATGGTTTCTGGATCATAGACAGCCAGGCGGTGTCGTAGATGGCTGAGGAGGTGGTGCCTAGGCCTTTGCCGGATGAGCAGTGGGAGGAGACAAAGGAGATGAGGGAGCTGATCTGGGATTGGAGATGTGTAGAGTCCATGGTTGTAAGTAATGTGAAAGGTAGTGTTGTTGTGGTGAGTTGTTAATTGGTAGTTGTTGATGGCGACTGAGACGGAGGAGGGATGCAGAGATATATACCTGTCATCCGGCCTTATGGTCGAGGGTCGTTCGTCGCCGCCATATTGAAGGTTAGGACTGACGAGTACGCTTCTCATTCCCAGCTGGCTTCACAAAAGTCTCCGACAAGTCCGTGGTTGTGATCTGCATCATGGAGTGACTTGTTTTTGGATCGTCGGTCTCTTGTGTGTCTTCGGACCGGTCAGTTGCAAAAGCTGGCGGAAGACATCCGCACAATCAAACAAAGATGGAAAAAAGTAAAGAGTTAGGTACAACCCAAGACGTGCTTGAGGAGAATTGTTAGCTTCAGGCTCATCATCAATAGTCCCATATGAACTTCCCCGTCTTCGGAGTTTGCTACTTGTTGCACAGCGATCCTGCAATGAGAAGACTGTCTTGGAAGTAGGAACAGTGCTCAATCTTGAATCTCATCAAGCCACTCACGCCTGTTTCAACGGCCCTGCTGATATCAAACGTCCGGACCATTATTTCCGTTCCCGCCAGTCAGGTACCGGTGTGGTTGATGGGGCTGTGGAAAGGCACTGGCGTGGTTCTAGCACGGCCCAAATGCATGGAAATGATGGAGCTAGTACCTACACCGGCCCAACAAGCAGGATTAGCTTTGCCCTGTTTGCTAAGATAGTTTAATTGGGCCTTGCTTTTCGGCTCACGACATAGGGTTGCTCCATAGGCATCCCTCACGAGGTCTGGTGGAGTAACATGTGCTCACCGAGGTCCCAGTGCAGCTGTCGAGTCCTCGGTGCGTTCGGTGCTATCAACGAGGCCGTTTTGGTGTAACCGGACTAATTCCCATCGCTTTGGGTCCGATCCGAAAGTGTGACAGCTGG